GAGGAGCAGCCGGGCCTTCCTGGCACAGGAGACAAGGCGTCGCTGTGCGGAGGAACAGGCAGGATGTCATGGAAATGGTCAGGCTGTCACGGATCCACAGCCTGTTACAACGGGCTGGGGCACCAGCAGAACACCCTAGGGTGCTGGAGACTCCAAGGTGGGGGAGAACAGGCTCCATGGGATGGGAGCCTGGAAATGGAGACCTGGTAGGACCAGCAAGACCAACTTGCTAACTTCTGCTGCTTCTTGGCAGAAGCCTCCAGATGTACCAGGTCCAAGGAAGGGGACGCAACAGGGCAGGGAAGGGACCCAGGGCCAGGGAAGGGACCCAAAGGGCAGGGAAGGGACCCCATCAGAGAAAGGAGGGCACCCAAAGGGACAAGGAGGTCCAGCTTCTCCTGCAGAAAGATCCAGCCCTGCCCACCTACCCCACCAGCCACAGGACACCACTCTAAGCATCACTCACGTGGGGAAAGGTGAATTTTCGGAGCACTGTATCATAGCCCTTCTTCTGCACCTTCTCCATCAGCGGGCGGATCACCAGCTGGGCATCCAGGCCTGGAAGCCAAAGAGGGATCAGCTGAGCCGGTACCAGGAGGGGAGATCCAGCCTGTCCCGGTGCCCCTGGCAGTCCTACCCCCGGAGATGAGGGCGGTGGGGCTGTGTGCCACGGCCCGCACATCATGGCTGTGGTGCTGGAAGGGCTTGGTCCGCACCCAGCGCTTCTCCGATCCACCCAGCTTCACCGGCAGCAGCTGCAGCTGGTAGGTGGCTCCAGTTGAGGTACCCACAACAATGCTGTCCTCCTTCTGGAGACAAAAACCGGAATGGGTTTGTGGGAGCAGACTGGGAAGAGAGGGAGGGCACCATCAGGAGGCACCGAGCCCGGCAACTCCTGCCACGGGCCCCTGTCAGCTGAGGGAGGACATGGGGGTCTCACCAACCTCTGCCACAGCCAGCGAGAGCACAGCCGAGGTGCTGACAGTATGGGACTCTGCCAATGTGCCCTGCTGCCAGTCCCAGAACTGTACCCTCCCGAAGGAGTCAGCGGTGACCACAGTGCCTCTGGAAAGGAGGGCGATGGCCCAGACCACGCACTCGCGCTTCACCTTTTCCACGTGGTAGTTCACCATGATCCTCTGTACAGTCTGACCTGCACATGGAGGACAGTTGAGGGTGGCCAGGGATCCCCCCAAGCACAGGGGGCCGGTGGGTGCTGGCAGTGCTGTAGGATAGGCCAGGGTCACCCCCAGGGCAGGAGGTACCTGAAGTGACATCGATGACGCGGAAGACGTCAATGGAGCCGGCGACGATGTGGGTGTCCGAGGGGTGCCAGGACAGGCACAGCACACGGCCTGGGGAGGGAAGTTCCGGGTGTGACCCCGCGGGCTCACAGCCCCTTGGTCACCAGGACACCAGGGGGGACAAAGGGGTGGTGCTGCTGCCGGGCTCACCTTTCCGCCTGTCCAGGTTCCGCTCAAACTGGATCCCTCCAGGAATGACTTGGAAGATCTTAACGGAACCGTCCTCACAGCCGATCTGTGGAAGGTCGGGATCAGCCTGGCAGCACAAGAGGATTCCCCCATCCCGCCGCTGCTCCCGGTGCCGTTCCCGACGGGACTCACCGCCAGCTGGGTGCCGGTGCCGTTGGCTGCCATGCTCCAGATGGGCCCCCCGCCGCCGTCGGCCCCGCGGGCCGCGCTCAGCCGAGACAGGTCGTACTCGGTGATGTCCCCGTTGAGCCCGGCCCCGAACAGCCGGTCCCCGGTGGCCCAGCACAGCGACTCCACCGTCCGCGCCTCGTGCCCGGGGATCACCTGCGGAGGGACGGGCGTCACACCGCGGCACGGCTCGGAGCGGCCCAACAGAGCCCGGTACAGCCCCTGTACGGCCCGGTGCGAATCGGCAGGGACAAGTAAAGCCCGGTACAGCCTCGGCATGGCCCGGTTCGGCTCGGTACAGACCCAGTACAGGCTCGGTACTGGGCCGGTACAAGCTCGCTAAAGCCCAGTACGGCTCGGTACAGGCCCAGCACAGCCCGGTTCGGCCCGTGCCGGCGCCCTCACCTTCTCCTGGTAGTAGTTGGCGGCGAAGTTGTACACCTCGACGGCGCCGTCGGTGCGGGCCAGAGCCAGGCGGGAGCCGCGGGGCTGGCAGGCGAGGCAGCGCACGCCCGCGGGCACCAGCCCGAAGAACCGCACCCGGTGCACCTCGAACTCGCCCATCGCGCCCCGGCAGCCCCGCTCCGATCCCGATCCCGGTCCCGGCCCCGCTCCGCCCCACGTGCGCGAGGCACCGGAACCGGGGCTGCCCCGGGGCCGCACGTGACCGGAGGCGGAAGCGGCGGCGCGGCGGGAGATTCGCGCGCGGCCGGCGGCGGGTGCGGGAGCGGCGGGAGCGGCGCGGGGGAAGGGGGAGGGGGTCGGCCCGGACTGGGCGGAGGGGGGAGGGACGGGAGGGGCCCGGCCCCCGAACGGCCCCGTCCAGCGGCCCCGGCCCGGCCCCACCGCACCGGCGCCGCTGGAGGGCACCAGCGCCCCGCGCAACCGGGCGGCGGCACCGGGGCGCTGCGGGGCACCGGGAGGGGGAGTGTGGGCATGGGGGGGCTGCAAGCCCCGGGGAAGGTATGGGTCAGCGGTCTGGCTGTGGGGCCTGAGGGGGCTGCAGGGCCCGCGGGGGGGGGGGGGGCGTATGGGTGGATCTATGGGGTCTGTGGGGCCCGGGAATGGCTGGAGGGCCCGGGAAAGGAATAGGTCTGGGATCTGGACATGGCGTCTGTGGGGCCCAGGGGCAGGAGCTCAGCCTGGGGACCCCAGGGGTAGCAGGCCCTGCCCCATGCCCTGCCTGTGTCTCTGCAGCCCCCCCAGGACCTGACATGGTGCAAATCGTCATCTCCAGGTGAGACCCTTGGGGTCCAGCCCCTGCAGCCCTGTGCCGGGGCATGGCTAGGCCCCGGGTGACCCCCCCGGGTGACCCCTCTGTCTCTCCCGCAGCGGTGGCACCGGGAGCCTGGCACAGTGGGTACTGGTGGAGCTGCAGGGCGAGGTGGAGCCCCGGCAGAGCGGGAGCCTGGCCGGGAGCCTCCTGGGAGATCTGCACTACACCTGTGAGGTGAGGCAGGTGGCACTGGGGGCCCCCTGTGGACAGCCTGGCCCTACCATACCCTCACCCTCCACTCTCCCCAGGGCATCCCTGTGCTCATCGTGGGCCACCACATCCTCTATGGCAAGGTGGTGCAGCTGGAGAAGCCGTTTGCTGTGCTGGTGAAGCAGGGAGGAGCCTCCCAGCCCAGCCCTGGGGAGCCACAGGGGCACTACACCGTCTCCGCCCTCATCAAAACCAAACTGCTCTTCAAAACCCGCCCCAAGCCCATCATCACCCACGTGCCCAAGAAGGTGTGAGGGGGATGGATGCGGGCTGTGAACTTCATTCTGCTTCTGGGAAGAGCAGCAAGGACGGAGAAAGATCGAGGACCTCATCCCTGTCCTGCACAGGGAACTCTCAAAGTGATGGGTTCTGTGTCTGGGCACCCAGAGCCCTTCCTGGGTCACTTGTCCCCTCAAAATGATGCTTTTCTGAGAACCACAGACCCTGTGGGTCACTCCAGGGGACATGAGTCCTGAGGGGCAGGGACCTCCTGTGAGCCCATGCAGGGATGTCCTATCTGGGGGCTGCCCTCAGTGCCTGGACTCAGCAGTTCCCAGGGACCCACAGAGATGCCAGCATGGAGATCTCCCCCTCTACCCCTCCCTGCATCTGTGAGGACACCAGTGCCAGACAGGGACTCAGCCCCAGTCTCCCTCAAATCAGGACAGGGGGACCAGGAACCCTCCCCAAAACACAGCACACATCCTTGATGCGAGTCTTTATTTCCACAACTCCATCAGGATATAAAAACATTTTTTTCCCCTAAAATATGAAAAGAATCCCCCTGGCAGGTTCAAAAATAAATAGATTTACAAACCATCCATGACAATACCAAAGAGCTACAAAAGTCTAAAAAACCTTGTATTAAGTTAAACAAAAAACAGCTAAAACCTCCATCGTAGAAAGGGGTTTTCATCCAAGTCCTGACAAAAAGGACCCAGAGGTCAATTCCCTTGGGAGGGGAAAGGTTGGGAAGCACCTTGCCTAAATCCCAGTGTCTTCCTACTGTTGAGAAGGCAGTGGGGTGGGAATGATGGGGCCATGAATTGCCAGAGCACCACCACAGCCCCTTTGGGGGGAATGCTCCACACAACCCACAGCTCCCCCCATTTTCCCAGTTTCTCCACACCAGGATTCCCCCATTGGCTCTTTGGCAAAGCTGAAGGGACCTGCTGCCCTCCTGGAGCAGCCAGACCCCCCAAAAAAAGGGCTGGAGGGGCTTCCCGTGGGTACGTGCCTGCACGCAGCAGCGGAGCAAAGGCAGCACAATCCAGCAGTGCTGGCACCATGCCAGATGGAGATGGTGTGTCCTGGGGGTGGGAAGTGCTGTAGCACCGTGGAGGTGGGACTGAAATCCCTATAAAAAGCACCAAAAGGTGGAAAATTCTGGATTGGGGTGGGGGGAGCGCAGCCAGCAGCGCTCGGCACCAGGATGCTCCATAGGGCACAACAGGGATGTGGCCAGCAGCACCCAGGTGGGTGATGGGCAGCCCTGGCTTGGCTTCTCCACGGCCAGTTTGGGATGGAGAAATGGTAAGGAAAAAATAAACATATTAATAAAAAAATTAGCAAGATTTCAAGATTTGCTGAGAAATGCCAAGGGGTAGGAGCGCTCAGCGCTGCCCATTGGCTCTGGGATGGGAAAGGGGACTGGGGGTAGTTATCCTAGCACTGCCCAGCACCTGGTGGCTCCAGGATGGGGGAAGAGGGGATCTGGGGTGGTTGCTCTGGCACACAGGGACACCCCAGCACCTGGCACTTCTACCATCCCAGCTCCAGGATGGGGGAAGAGGGGACTGGGGATGATTGCTCTGGCACACAGGAACCCCCCAGCATGTGGCACCACCCTGCAGTCAGACCTCAGTGAAGGCCAGCCCGCACTGCTCCTCCCGCTTGCCACAGCGGCGGGCAACGATGGCCAGGTAGAGGGTGAGCAGGGCCACCCAGTAGCAGGCATAGAGGATGGCACCTGAAATAAGGAAGACCACCTCAGTCTCGCTGAAGAGGTCCTGGCTGTAGGCAGTGTAGGCCAGCCCACCCAGCAGCACTGCCACCCACACCGACACTGGCAGCAGCCCCACAAAGTTCACCACAATGGTGCGGCGCCCTGAGGTGCCCCAGCCCGACTTGTTGATGGTGGCGATGGCGAAGATCTTGGCGGGCAGCAGGCTGGACATGTAGAGGAGGGCATAGAGGGACATGAAGATCATCTCGGCATTGCCACGCAGGAAGCAGGCGTAGGTGGCCTTGATGACACCCACCAGCTGCACCGTCAGCAGGAACAGGAGGATGTTCCAGATGCGACCACGGTAGAAGAGCTGGATGACGGTGGCAATGAGGAAGAAGGGGAAGAACCCAGTGACCACCGACTCATAGGTCATCCAGAGGTGATGCTTGTGGAACCACAGTGCATTGTAGAGCCACTCACGAAAGTAGGACTTGCTCCAGCGGGTCTGCTGGTTGAGCCAGCGCAGGTACCGCGTGGGTGTCTCCGTCAGGCACTTGGAGCGAGCCGTGTACTTGGTCTGGTAGCCCAGGCTGAGCACACGGTTGGTGAGGTGCCGGTCATCCCCGAAGCTGCACTTGCTGCCCAGGAAGGTCTGGTGGTACCAGTCCTCGAGGAACTGCTGCAGGAGGGCATTGCGGTACATGCCCAGGGGGCCACTGATGCACTGCACGCACCCGAAGTACGACTGGCACGCACGCTCCACGTTGAAGGCCATCCAGTACCGCACGCTGCTCAGGAAGGAGAGCCACGAGTCGTACTTGTTCAGGATCTAGGGAGGGGAGGGATGTGAGCTCCGGCACTGCTGCAGCCCCCGGCATTCCCAGCCCTGCCCTCGCCTCGCCGCCCTGGGGTGCCCTCCCTCACACCGAGGTAGGTACCTGCACATCACCACCGACGCCGCCAACACGGGGGTCGGCCTCCAGGATGCGGAGCATTTCGGCAGTGCAGGCGGGGTCCAGCACCGTGTCTGAGTCACACACCTGGGGGCAGAGGGAACGTCGAGCCCCGCTCCCGCCGCCCACACGCACCCGGCAAACAGCCCAGCCCGCAGCCGGGCAAGCCCGAGCCATGGATGGCGAGACCAGGCAGGGCCCTGGAGGCCGGCAGGCGATGGCAGGGAGTGGAGCACCCCGTGGTGCCTGGACACCACTGCCCCAGGACACCCTTCCCCAGAACTGATGGAGGACCTCTCCCAGCCACCCTGGGGACCCAGGACCCTGAGCTGTGCCACATTGTCCCACTCAGTGACACCATGCCAGGGCACATCCTGAGGAGGTGATGTGGCACCCTTGCAGAGAGGGCTCGACCCCTTGGCCACTTCAGTGCCAGTCACGCCCAGCTCCAGTGCTAGTGGCTCAGGGCCGGTGCGTGGGGCCACATCCAGGCACCCAAGTGCTCCTGTGGGCTCCCAGGGCTGCTCCCATCCCACCCACAGCCCCTCTGCCCAGCTATGCAGGCAGGACACTCCCTGCCCACATCCCCCCAGCCCATGCATCCACCTGGATGTAGTCCACAGAGTCTCCGAGCGCCCGGAAGGCCGTGTACATCACCTCCCGCTTCCCGCCCCACTTCTGGAGGATGCAGGAGTAGGTGTTGCTGCGCACCAGCGCCTGGACATGGGCCAGCCCTTCCCGCAGCCCGGCCTCCGTCTCTCCCTCGCCCTGTGCGTGGAAGTTGCTCCTCCAGATGTAGCTGCCTGAGTGCTCGGAGCCCATCACGTCATGGAAGATGTCCAGCATGTAGGTGTCATCAGGGCCATTTCCATCCACCACCATCACCACTTTGAGGTCGGGGAAGGCGATCCGCTTGACAGAGCGCAGGCACTTCGTCAGGTAGTCGGGATCCTCCTGGAAGGCAGCGATGCAAAGGGCCACGGAGCGCCCCGGCCGCACCAGCTGCCCCTCACCCCGCATGCGCCGGTGCTCCAGGAAGGCAAAGAGGCTCTGGATGAAGAGATGCAGCCCCAGGATGGCCCCGTAGAGCCCAAAGGAGAGGTAGTGCTTCTCCGTATGGATGAACTGGTACCCTGTGACGTAGGCAGCCAGGATTCCCCCCAGCACCGCCACGGCAAAGAGGCTGGTCCCCACGACACGCAGGGCCGTGGAGAGGCTCCCTGGCATCTGGGGGAACACCAAAGAGCATCAGGGAAGGGACAGGGGGACACACTCCCCACCAGGCCTCCCCATAACACAGAAGTGGAGGGACCCTGCTCCTCTGCTGCCCCGTGGCCACCCTGTCCCTTGCTGGTCACCGGATTGGGGGTGACACCTTCCCAGTGTCTCCATGGGGCCAGATGAAGTATGAGGGTCCCAACCACCCCACTGTGCAGGGTGGCAGGCAAGGTGTGGAGGTCCCGAGCACCCCTCAGTGGGCAGTGCCAGCACCCCCTGTCCAGCCAAGTGGGAGCACGGCTGCTCCCAAGAGATGACCGGGCTAGAGGACAGGGAAGGGCACAGGGACGCCAGGGACTAGGGTGTCCCCGAGGAAATCACGGCCACCCAGAGCCCCCCACCACCCCGACCGCCTGTGGCGGGACCCCTGGCTGCGGGGGTGGAAGCACCTAGACCCCCTCCCCGCGGCGAGATAGAGACGCGGGGACGGGCAGCGCGGGCAGGACGGGACTGCGGAGCTGCACCAGGGCGCGGGTGCAGGCAGGGGGTGCGGGCATGTCGGGGGGTGCACGACCACGTGCGGGGGTGCAGGTAGGGCGCAGAGCCAGCCCCAGGAACACCCGTGCCGCCGGCAGAGCCCCCGGGCAGCCCCCCCGGGGCCTCTCAGCCCCCGGCGCTCCTGACTCCTCCCGGTCCCGCAGCCCCCGGCGCTCCCGGCTACCCGCTACCTCCGACCCCGTAGCCCCCCGTGCCGCCGCCGGTCTCGCAGCGCTGCAGGAGAGCCCCGAGCCGGACCAGCGGGGCCAGGAGGAAGAAGGAGGGGCCGGGACTCACCGTGGAGGTACCGGTACCGCCGCTCCCCACCCGCCGCCGCCGTTGTGCGCCCAGCCCGGCCCGTGCGGCCCCTTTATACCGCGACGGGGCCGGCACCGCCCGCAGCCCGCGGGGGCCCCGCCCGGCACCGGCACCGGCACCGCCGGCACCGCCCCCGGCACCGGCATCGGCACCGGCTCCGGCTCCGCCCGCAGCCACCGGGGACCGGCCCTGCACTGGCAGCACCTGGCACCGGCCGCAGCCCCGCACTGCGGGAGTGATGACCGGCACCGGGGGCACCGGCAGCACCGGCATCAGCGGCACCAGTGCTGCACCGACACGGGCATCATCACAGGCACCACGGTACAGCTGCTGCACCGGCAGCACCGGCAGCTGCTCTAGTGCTGCACCGGAACCGGCATCAGCATCACCCGGCGCCGGCATCAGCCGGTACCGGCACCGGCGCAGCGCCACGGGCCAGGGACCGGTCACTCTGTTTCCCCCCGCCCCGTTCTTGGGCCCCTCTTATGACACCCACGTGTCACCTCCCTGTGCCACCGTGTCCTGCCATGGCTATGAGCCACCCGTGTCACCCTGTCCCTGTGGCCGGTGGGTGCCAGGACAGGACCAGGGTCAGCCCGGGGACAGCAGCACCATGTTCCCGTGCCGGGCTGATGGCAAGGGACAGCCAGCTCCGGGAAAAGCCATTCTGAGTCCATAGGAGTTGCAGCTTTGGCTCTGGGCTTAAATCCAGCACTTTCGGGTTCCTCACCCCAACGCGGGCCGTTGTGTCCTGTTGTGCTGGGAGCCGGGTGCGAAGTGACACCAGGACTGGACCCGGAGCCTCCGAGTGCTGGGAGCTGGGGAAGGGAATCCCTCCAGTGGGAGCATCCTGGGCAGGCAGGTCCCCCTCGAATGACACCCCCAGCACCCTGGGATCTTCCCTAACACCTGGAGCGGATGGTGAGGAGCTGGTGAGCCCATGAATGGGACAGGGATGTGCTGGGACCCTCAGCACTACAGGCAGGGCTCCCACAGGGCAGCAGTGGGGTGCAGGGGTGCAAAGCCCAGCATGGTGGGGTCAGACTGGTGTGGCCTGTGCCACTGCCGTGGTACTGTCAGGGTCCCTGTGGCAACAGGTGCCCAGTTATGGGGAGGGGGGACAGAGGACAGGGGTAGTGTGTCCCCACATCACAGCCCTCCCTGTGCCCTCATCAGGGACCCCTCACATTTGGTGTGCCTGTGGCTGTCCAAGGTGGGAATCAAACTACCTCCATCCCCAGCACAGCCATTGCTTTGCTTCCAGCAGCAGGACAGCTGGACACATCCTTGCTCTCAGAGGCAAGACAGCCAGACAGCTTGTTCCCAGAAGCAGGACATGTCCTTATTGCCAGAGGCAGGATGGCCAGACAGTGTCCAGTCAGTGGCATCAAAAGAGACTTTTCATTCCAAATTCATCCTCCACCACTTGTGGCAGCCCCTGGACAGGCACAGCTGGTACAGCAGCACCCTGGTACATGCCCGTGGTCCAACACAGCACCAGGAGTGAGAAGGAGCGCTTGGCCACCGCTGCTCTCTCCAGTGAGGACAATGTGCTCCTGCTGCCACTCAGGACATCGCATGGCACAGCACAGGGGTGGTGACACAGCTCAGGGCCCCCAGCCTGGTAGGGAAGGGATGTGCCAGACTCCCCCCAGTATCTGGTATGGCACAGGGCAGCTGGGAAATGGGCACCTGGGGTTGTACATGGAGGGGCTGGGGCTGCATGGTGCCAGGGGATTAAGAAGGGTAAGGGCTAGGCTCCTGAGGACTCTGCTCCCCCACCACTGTAGGTGTGCAGCAACACACAGCGCAGGAATGAGGCCTGTGGTGCTGCAGCACCCATGGGGGCTGTCCTGACTGGAGGTGGGAGTGACCTCGATGTTGGGGTGTCCCAAAGCACATGGTGGTGAGCATTGGTCCCAGACAAGTGCCTACAGCCACAGGGTCCCACAGCCCCTCCTTGGCATGGAGAGGGCTCCTGGTGCCACAGCGGAGGGGCCCATCCTCAGACTCTGCGGTGAAGGAGACCTCAGACCCCCCAGCATCCCTGTGGTACATGATGCCAAGGGGGGGCCACGGATGCTCACTCAAGGGGTGCAGACAGCAGAGTCCCTCACCCTCCCAACTCCCCTCAGGGGCAGCTGTGGCTGGTTGGCCACAGGGAGCCTGATGCATTGGCCCCACCGGCTGCTACGCCAGCCCAGGGACTGATGCTGGCCCTGGGGGTGATGCCCATCCTTCCACTGGACCCAGGACATGGCCACAATAGCACCCAGAAGCTTCACATGACCCCCACAGACGCCACGGACACAGGGCTGAGTGTGTCTCTGTTTAATCCCACACCTCGTCCCAGCGAGGTTCCCCACCCCATCCGGCACCTGCCGGCAGCATCCCGGGGGCACAGCGAGTCCTTCCGTTCTGGGAGCCATTGGCCCTGATGTCAGAGCAGAACAGTTCATTTCCACGGGCTCAGCCCTGCTACGGCAGCACAATAATCTTCTTCTCCAGCGTCTGTGGGGGGAACAGGACCCTCCTCATGATGGTGTCCAGCTCCTCCAGTGCCAGCTGTGCGTGCAGCACTGTGGCGCCGTCGCGCTCGGCCGTCACCACGTGCTTCAGCAGGCGGTACAGGTCCAGCAGCACGTCCCGCAGCACCTGGATATGGCGGGCATGGAAAGTGTCAGCACCCACTGGTGCCTCGCCCGCCCTCGCCCCCTCGGCGTGTCCCAGCAGGTGTGGGGCTGCCCCTTCCTCCAGCACTGCTGGTGCCAGGACACTGCGGCACCACCACTGCCGACCACAGCTCTGAGCTCCCGTGACTCAGTTTCCCCACACACCAGCAGCACGTTGTGGTGAACCTCCAGCCCAGAGGCACAGGGGGATGCTGAGATCCCGGCTGCGGGGATTCCCATGGGGAACTAGCTGTTTCCTCCATGGGAGTTGAGTCCCAACATGCTTGTTACTGGGAACTGGGGAAGGAGGCCACAGTGGAGGAAACACTGGGCATTTCCAAGTCAAATCAGTGATGAATAACTCCCACGGCTCCTGAGAGCTGGCACTACCCACAGCATGACACGGCCCCACAGCACATCCCAGCAGCATAGAGGGATGCCCCCACAAAGTCCCCACTTTCCCAGGATCTGCTGAGTGGGCCCTTTGGTGGGGGAGGTCAAAGTTGGGGGTCTCAGTCCCTTGAGACTTTCCCTGGAAGTTGCTTGGGAACGAGCCCTGCAGCCCCAGTGGGGCAGGGATGCCCACGAGCCTGTTGAGGACTGTCCCTGCCGTGGGGACAAACGGGGGGGTGACCCACCTCAGTGACCTTCTCGCTCAGCCCCCGCAGCAGCAGAACCACCACGTGCACGGCAGCTCTTCGCACCTCGGCCTTAGGGTCCGTCTGGGCTATGGCTGTCACACAGCAGGTGACCTGTGGGCACAGGGCAGGGGGGCATCAGCAAGGGCTGCGGGATGTGGGGGATCCCGGCTGAGCAGCTGCTGCCATGCTGGGGACATTCCAAGGATGAGGATGGGACCTCAGTGCCTGGCCTGGTACCCAGCTGGGGGGTCCCGCTTCCTGTGGGGCATGGGCTCCGAGCAGCCCTTCCTCCTGCTGGGGCCAGGCAGCACATGGATGCCTCGGGAAGCTGTATAACAATCTGTATAAAAATCAGGCAGAGCCAAAGGAATCTAATTAAACCCCAGCAGTGACAGCCAGGAGAATTAGCAGAGCTTGCACCCTCCCAAAATAGCAGCGCGTGGCGTGTTGGCATCGCATCAACTACCGGGACCCACTGGTGCCGAGTGGCAACCGGGGGAGAAGCCTGAGTGCCAAATCCATGTGGGCTCCAGTTCCAGGAGCACCAGGGGGGCGAAGCTCTGGCTCCCAGGGGGCACAGACCCACCAGCTTGAGGGCTGCTGGATTGCCGACAGCTGGGCTCATCCCACCAGGATCACAGCGCCAGCGGCTCCAGGCAGCCGTGTCTCTCTCAGAGCCTGCAGCCAGGGCAAGGGATGGCTCAGCCATACTGATAACGATAATTATGATAATTATGATAACGGGAGGGTAACTAAGTGTCATTAAGCAGGAGGTGTCTCTGGCAGGCACCACCTGTGCCCCTAGGTCTCCTCTGGCAGCAGCTGCCATGGGTGGAGCAGACACCTAAAAATCAGGGCTAGAACCTCCTGAGTGTTTGCTTCAGGCCCAATGGCTTTTATACTCCATGGTATAAGCAATTATCACTCTTATCGCTCATGTCCTTTGTGGAAATGTTCCATTTCCATATGGAAATGTCCCATTTCCATGTCCATAGCAGCCCAACCACACACTAACGAACCCACTTGTAAACAAGCGATGGCCCCACGCTCCCCAGACAGGGACCCGGGGAAGGATGGAGCTGGTACCTCCTGGACAATGGATCCCAGCTGAAAGCCAAGGTGCTGGCAGAGCTCGCCCAGGTTGGAGAGGCTGCTGGCCCGCAGTGCTCCGTCAGGGTCCCGGGCACCCCGCAGGAAGGCCTGGATCAGTGGCTCCCGGTGCTGGAACACCATGTCCCCTGCAGGACAGAGCAGAGCAGTGTGTCACCAGCATGGAAAAGCCCACAGTCCCTTCCTGCTGAAGCTTTGGCTCCTTTGGGAGCAGATGGACTGGGCATCCTCCTTGCAGCAGTGCAGAACAGCCGGATGCAGCAACTCAAGGGTGGCTTCTGCCCCTTGGCACATGCCCTATGGAGGCCCTCCAGCATACCCCAGTTCCTCCATTCAAGGTCTTGCAGACACACCAAGTGTGAATCCCAAATTCCCACATCTTTCAGACCCAAATCCCCACCCCAATTAGCACAGGGAGGCGCTGTGGACATGTGAGCTGCTAACGAGAGGTCAGGGCCCATGTCCAGCATCCAAAACCACCCCGGGAGCATGGTCATCCCATGGGAGGTGGGCAGCTGTGTGCCCCATGGTGTGGGCATGGCTTCCTGGAGGAAGAGGCTCAAGGGGCCAGGAAGGAAGCTCCAG